GGACGCTTAGCTTTAAATATTAAAATTTAATGCATATCTTCAGTATTTCTCAATGCAAAACCGGAATTGATATGTATTTTATTTCTTCCCCAATATAGAAGACTCCATTGATAAAACAGCATTAGTTTGAAGCAGAACTTTTGAAGGATTTTTCTTTTGTCTTTAAGTTACCCACCAAATGTATTGGCGTGACCTCGTCGTTTATCTGTTATGGTATGTGAATTAATCTTATGACAGACAAGGTCTTAGCCCGAATAAAGTGACACCTGTACTGATATGTGAAAATAGCCTTTCTTGGTTGAATAAGATTATTTCAAAATTGCGTGTGATGAATACAGTTAGAAATGTAAAAATTAAAATAACAACATATCAGTCCTCCATATAACTGACCAGAATGAGGTTTATGAAGAATACATTCAGATGGATGTTGATTTAGTTAGATTCAGCGTGGATTGAAATTACGTGCATGGTAATTCAGTTCGCCATATTTTATGAAACGAGACAAGAAGCACAGGACGAACTCTCTCATCTTGAAGATTAGAAATTTGCTAAGGGACGTAACTCATGTTGAGTTTGACGCTATCGTTCATTTAATTATATATTTTTGTGCTTGAACCAAACACATATGCAACGCTGTTCATGCATATTTGAGGAGACCATTCTTTTTAAAATTAGGATTATAACAATCACTAAATAAAAACAAAATGAACAATGTCAAAGTTTAAAAAATGTCGTGTGTAACTGAGATTCAATGATTGATTTTTTTTAACATATTGCGACAGCTATTTAGGGAGATGTGGTTAAATATAGTTTAAGTTAAAAAAATAATTCATTATTATTATTGTTTAGATCCTAAGCATTATAACTTAGCACAAATAGCTATATTGTGGAAAAAGAATTTTGGCCGATATACGCATTTTTTACGTATTTATTTTTATTTTTATTTTTGTACATGTAGTTAGAGATAATATTGTTATACATTAATTGTTAATGTTTTAATTAATAATTATTTGTGCTCAGTTGTTGACATTAATAGCTACTTGCTAATGTGTTCAAATTTTGGAATAATGCAATAATAAAAATTTAAATTTCATCTCTCTGATTAATGTCGCGTTCTGTAAATTTTTTTATGGTTTATCAATCAATGGTTTATTTAATATTGAAACATATTTGGGATTGTAAGATTCTTATTTTTATAGACTGAACATTGAATTAATAATTTTGTTTTAGAGATAACGATTTTTCCAGATACAAGTCCTACTATTTAACCCATAGCTAAGCGGGGCTAGGACAAATGGATTCATACCTCGCCCAAGGGAATTTATACGTAAATGAACGTAACGAACTCGACTGGAATTCAAACTCCGATTTCTGAGATTCTTTTTGTTACATTAGGGCAGGTCGACTTTTCCCTTTTCTTTTAAAAAATAAATAAGGCACTCGGCGTGAAAACCGGGGATTGATGTCATAAGTATTTTTACCAAAACTTAGAATCATTGCTTTTATCAATTTTTGAGCATTCATTTTTAAAATCTTCTGAAAAAATGTATAGAAATACCTAATTTCCTCAGGGATTTGCTTACAAACTGACTTCATAATTTTATTATTTCAAGAATAAATCCAATTTTCTACATACAATACATTGCTTTCGTCAGCCGCTAACCAGTGGAAGTAACACAGTTTCGGTGGCTAAGGCGGTACTGCCACCATTGGTGTCACCAGCAGCTTTTGCCATCGGACATAGTATTGTTTTTTTGTCTAGACGTGTTAGTCTGCGATTTTTATGTAACTGCAAGTCAGATTTTCAATGTTGTGTTAAAAGCGTTTGCTTCTTCTCGTTAAACCAAACACAACGCGTTCGTAGCGACCTTTATCAATGACGTAAAATGGAAGGTAAACAGATGTTTTTTTTACGTCGGAAACAGCATTGTGTTGCCAGCATGGTTTTAATCAACTTTGTTTATTTTGGATCTTGACTAGATCGGCCTATTAAAGTTAATATCATTTGTATTAGATGCACTGAATGGAAAATATATCCAGACCAGAATTCTAATTAAGACTCATCTCAAGCAAAATATTTGCAATATTTTGATTTTTTTTTTACTGTATTTCATAAATAAAAGCTGCAAAAAAATGGTAAATATAAAAAAAGGCTACTCAATGAATAAGATTTGTTAGATTATAATTAATAAAAACGAAAAATAAATAAAAGTGTATATTTACTGCTGGGTACAAATTTTTAGACAAAATATTTTAACTTTTGCATTGTTTATTGAAAACTCCACTAAAACTACAGCATTGTATAACATATTACATCAAAATATAGCTAAATTGTTCAGTATGATTTCACTTTGAAGTAAATGAAGGTCTTATTTGATGGTACAATGACTTCGTGATAATGTACTTGTACGATCTTGTCTATATACAATTTGTAAAGCTTCAGTAAATTATAAATTTTATAAGGCTGTTCTATAAAGCTTTCAGGGATCACCAGAATTAAATTCCATCGCTAATCTTAATCTTTAAACTCGTTTCTTCAAAAAAAAAAAACAGTAGCAATTTGTAAAAAGAATATTTTGTTATTTATCAGGTCACATCCGAACTTTTAAATTGAGTGCAATAGCACAGTTTTAAAATCGTGCTGCCCTATTGTTACACCACCCGCACATTCTTAATAGTGCGAAAAAAGTACGGTTGGATCTCTTTAATCTGTGGTCCAGCAATTCCCACGGTCCGATACTTTTTTTTTAATCACCCGCCATAAGTTTGTTGAGCGACTATGAGGGCAGCGCCACACATTTAAAACTTTCCACAGCAGCATAGTGTTTTGGTGGTACGGCCTGGCCCTTTTCTTATATATAGCTGCATATTTAGCTATTCAGGAGAGTAAATATATATTATTGTTTTAGTGTGAGGTATTTTTAGCCTTTGTATTTCATGAAACAATAAAAATCTTGTTTGGAAGCATTAATGATTGTTTTCTTTCTTCTTTTAAGCTTTTGACCCATCTTTGATATATATATATATATATATATATATATATATATATATATATATATGTGTGTGTGTGTGTGTGTGTGTGTGTGTGTGTGTGTGTGTGTGCAATGAGCTAGCAAGACTGCTTGCATAAAGATCTTTCTTAGGAGTGTTTTCTATGGTCCGGCAATGACCTAATCCCAACGGTGCTAGATTAAAGAGGTAATTTTTTTGTTTTACTAATATTTACCTAATACAAGGCTCAAGAGCTACTCAAAGTAGAGGGTTACTATGTGGTGTTGTATGAGTGTAAGGAAGTATAAGAAGTGAAGTTCCTGGGGCTGTAGAGGAAAGACAAGAGATAGCTCTAAATATGAAGAAGTGAAGATTTAATAAAATTTCAGAGTGTAGGCGCAGACGTTAGAAGTATATTTTAAAAATAGACGGAACCGGAAGCCCAGTCTTAAACAGGAAACAACGAATAAACCTCTATTCCGGTTCAAAAAACCAGTGAGGTGTGTGAACCGGATGATAGGCAAAACTATTTACTCCTCGTATTGGGAAAGAATTAAAAAAAATGAATGAATGAATAAAATTCCAGAGCTCAGTTGGAGGTGTTAGGAATATAGAATTGATGTAAACCTGAGAAGCAACCGGAAAGGCAATCCAAATCAAGAAACAACAGGTAAACATCTACTCCTTTTCAAAAGACCAGGGAAGTTTGTGAACAGACGATATGGAAATATTGTTCTTTAAAATAAGCAAGTATAAAATATGGCATTCATGAGAGACGTGTGTGTGTGTGTGGCGGGGATACATGTTTGTGTGTTTGCTTTCAATTCCTTTACCCAAGAGAAATGTAAATATCCGATTCTGAAAAGACCTGTTCTTTTTCTAAATATCCACAAGACAACACCTAAACAAAACTCGTAACATTTCATCACCACTGAGCAGATCCTAAACGTACACCAATCCTGATGAGTGGTTATATTATCAAAGAAGCTTCCTTGACTAGAACTATCACTCCTAACCAAAAAAAAAAAAAAAAAAAAAGCCTTGCCTTTTAAAAAGTTCAACGATATTTCTTCTGCCGCCATTTAATTTAAAGACAATTTGATGTACGCATGTCCATACTTTCTGTACTAACATTTATTTTTATTTCACGGGAGACTTTCGCTGGATTTCGCAATTAATTTATTTCCAAGTTATAAGAATTGTTATCGTAAAAAAAAAAAAAAATAATCGCAAAAAATCACGAAAAAAATCGCCGAAAACAATCGCAATAATGAAAACTTGTGACTCGAAAATTACAGGATTGGGGGTCTGGACCCGCTCTGGAATGTTTTTAATTTGCTCACAGAGTCGGTCTGATTCTAAAATGGTATGATATGTTGGACTACGGCCTCTAGGAGCAAAATTAAAAAAAAAGTGACACAGTGACACACTGACATTCGCATTTATTATATAGATAAAAAAGATATTGAATGTTAGAGACTTGTGTAAAATACGGTATATCCAAGCAAATGCCTATTGCTATAAATACCCATTCGTTTATATTTTCGCCATTTTACCTGTAATAATTATAAGCTCATTCACTATCGCTAAAAGGAATTAGAGTCGTAAGCACATGAAAGAAACACATTTTATTCTAATTTGGCCAATGAAATATTTAGACGAACAATGGATTTGAATAAAATATTTTCGGTTGAATTTTATTGCTTTAAAATTGTTACAAAAACAACACAAAACAAAAAAACGGCTTCCTTTCGGAAAGATCTCCCAAAAAATCCAAATAATTTTTTTTCATATTATGGTTGGATTATCACGAAGAAGTAATTTGTGGAATAACTTCTTTTTTTTTTTTAAAAATCGACGACGTCTGAGACACTGTGATAATGTTCACCTTGCTTTTTCCGCTGAATGTAAGGAACTTTTTTTTTTAATGGTTTACAGTAGTATATAGTTATTTAACAATAGTTCGTCAGCGTCAGTTTTTTCATGTGCTGATCAACAGTCAGACCCACCAGCCTTTTCTGCAACAAATAAATAAATAAATAAATTATTCAGTCATTTAACCGTCAGTTTATTATAACTGCATAAATGTTTATGGCGATGATTCCAAGGGCACAAAAAACTTAACCTCTTAACATTTTATATATATATATATATATATATATATATATAAAGAAAAAAAGACCACTTTAAGTTTCCATTATAATTTATTTCACCAGAGCCCTTTATGAGATGATCCTATTAAAAATAAGTAGACAAAACTAAATATATATATATTATAGTGAGGTGGAAGAACGTCTTTCCGCGTGGATCCAAGGACAGGTGTAGCAGAGAAAACCACGTGTATTAGCAGAACAGTAACATTGCCGAACTTCTAAGGAAACCCATGTAAAATATCTCTCACTAATGCATACACCTGGGTTCCCCCTCACAGTAATATGATTGGCTGGTGTCAGCCATAAATACAGACTGATGTAGAGGTACATGGACTACGCCTATTGCCTCCACCTATTGCCTACCACTACGACGAGGACCAGTCCATTACGGTTACCTGCTAGATTGTCCTACCCGGTTACAGTAGTCAACAACCACTTTGTTACTTCGAATAAATATATCCCTTTCGGGGACATATCAACAGGACATCTCTGTACTGAAGCAGGTTTGAGTTTATTAAACTCCGAAATTTTATTTTTAATTACGGAATGGATAATATGTAATGAATAGGCATTGTTACAGAGAGTAGTAGTAGTAATAAACCTGATCTCATCAGCCAGCTTGGATTTAGAACAGATCATTAAGGCCTTGTGGGTAACAGTCTTAATTAAATTTAATTTACGTTTTATGGAACAAAAAGAGTCCCAATGGGTTTATAAACCAGTAAACATCGGTTTTCGATAAACCGAATGAGAAAACTCGAAGAAGGGAAGGAAAGGGTTAGTTTCCTTATCTTGAGTAAAATTAAGTGCTGGGCGGATATTGTAAAGAAACGTAAGAAAAAGGTCTGCTTTCATTTTCGTTATTGAATAGACAAAAAATATCATCAACATAACGAAAATAAACATCAGGTCAACATAGGATCAGATAATAAACTCTCTTCATGGAAGCCTACAAAAATGTTAGCTAAAATTGGTCCTAAAGGTGAACCCATTGAGACTCCATTAATTTACATATGCATGACGCCGGCAAAACTGAATTCAACCGGCATCGTGGCAAATTTCATAAGTTCCACAAATATATCCTCTGAGATAGGAGGACTGGACAACTGACTACGATATAAGACGTCAGCACATATATCAATAGAGGCACGTAGGGGAAAAAGGCTACAAATATCAAAGGAGCACATAAGTTTGTTAATCGACGGGTTATATAAAGTCTGTATAAAGTCAGAGAATTCAAAAGAATCTTTAACACAGGAAGACTTATACTGTCCCAAAACTGGTTGCAAGCCATTTGGCCACAACATGTTGGAAAGATCTTATAATAGTCAATAGGTCTCAGTAGGACCCCAACCTTATTTGTATTTGGATAATCCATAGAGACAGTGACAAATTTAATCAGAGTGTCTAATCAAATTAGAAATGTCAGTAGGCAAAATTCCACTTTTAACCTAGGCGTTTTTGGAACTTAGCCTCAATAGCAAATGTGTAGTGAAACTCATCTATTGGGCCTAACTGAACAAATTTAGAAGTATCCTTAAGAATCGTCAACATCGTTTACATAATCCTGATAATCAACTATGACAACAGCCGAGCCTTTATCAAGTTTCATAATGACCAAATGTTCATTCAATTTTGCCTTAAGGTCATTAACCTTGTTAACAGATTCAGGTTGAAGTCGGGTTAACTGGACAAAAAAGACTTCAAACTCTGAGTAAATTTCTTCTCGCTTAGTAAATGAGGGAGGAATACAAAAATCCAATCCATGCGAGAGACCCTTCACACCTGTTCCCGATCCTTTTAACAGGGGTAGAACTTTTCTTCGCTTTCACTCCCAGTAGCCCCCTTGCGTCTTAGTGGCGTTATTGCCTTGCTTGAAGCGAACTGATTAAAAAGAACATGTTTAAAATCGGAAGATGCGTCCACAAAAATCACTTGAGCCACCCTAGGAACACAGGTTGTCCCCCACCCACTAAACTATAGAAAAACTGAACTTACTTTTGCAAATATGAGCCACAAGTGTCCTGGCCATTTCAATCATTTCTCCTGAATCGGATGCTCGTAGAATATGACTTGACTTTCCGGATGCCAATGATTCGAGTACACTCTCATGGTTCAAACTGCCCATGTCGACAATAAACATTTCTATTCCTTTTGTCTTAGCCAACTTGGCTTCTAATTTCGCCCGTTCGGGATAGCTTAATTTACCCCTAAGAAACAAGACGCCAACCTTGCGTGCATTTGGTCGGCCGCCATTTTCAGGTTCAAAACCTTCCATTCGAAGATCGGTAATCAATGAGTAAATTTCAGTTGTTCTGTAGCTATCAAAATGTGTCAGTATATCAGGAAGATTTTGATAACGATTGAGATGAAAACCTGAAAAAGCAAAAAAAAAAAAAGATATATAAATATAATCTTATATTACAAAGTCACGTAAAATGCAAACAGACACCATCCCCATTTTCATATTACATCACTTTATGAGCCAATGTTCTACAGCAAGGTTTTTATTTACATGGAAATAAAATGGATCCTGACAAAAAGCATTCATAAAGCATTGCTAACCTCGTATCATTCATATATATATATATATATATATATATATATATATATATATATATATATATATATATAATCTGTTCTTTTGAGTTTATGTATCTTGTTCATCAAATTCGTTGCGGTTTAAGTGACGCCAGTTCTCTTGTTCAAAGAGACCTTGTGCCAAAACTTAGCTACGAAGGTGTTGCCTTTTATAACTATCATTGGGTTGATACACCGTAAAACAAAATAAACCAATCCAAATTAGTCTCTGTTATATGCCTGCACGATTAGATAATGTGAATGGTCATATTTAATCACAGAAAATCACGTAAATAGCCTTTTCAGATTGAGATTTTCATATGGATGTCATGTAAAGCCATAAACTGTCAGCTGTATAGAGCCTCATTTCTAAGATCAATGGTCAAAAATGGCTTTGATCGAGGGAAGCCTGTGGGTCAGTTCTTTTCCTGGGAAAGTGTTCTGAAGATAATGTGTTGTTTAGCTACTTCGGCTTGTAGACGGAATTTGGATTCTGGCCGATTTCTCAGACATAAATTAATGGCGCCGTCTTATATTATTATATTAATTTATACACGAGAATATACGGCAAATTGGCTACGCTGAATTTGAAACAAAAGAATTCGTACATACCTTTTGTGTCTGGACAGGGTCCCGTAATGGTGCCAACGCGTACTTTACCATTATTTAAATCTTCAGCAGACACGACAGTTTTAATGAAGCGAATGGCATCTTCAGTACCACTCGTACCCATTTGAGCGGGGTCGAATATAAAGTTAAAGTCGATCTCCTGTCCGTCGCATGCTAGTTAAATATAAAGAAATTCGAATATGGGTTAAATTTAAAATAAACAAAGAAATAAAATATGTTATTTTATTTAATAAATGAAGTGACATTGTAATAATAATAAATAATAAAACAATAATAATAAATAATAGACTCTCACGTTCCGCTTTCGGTGGAGGTGTAGTTGTCGTCGTGGTAGTCGTCGTCGTAGGAGTAGTGGTAGGAGTAGTGGTAGGAGTCGTAGGAGTAGTGGTAGTTGTGGGAGCAGCAGTTGAAGCAGCTGAAACGAAAAGCAAGATTTTAGAAAGTGTTTCTTTCGTTTTATTTTATTGTATTTTTTCTATCCGGATAAAATGCAAAAGATGTTATTAAACATACAAAAAATTCTATTTAGCGTTCATGAATTTAAGAATATCAGCTTTAAGGAAGCGCATTTATATCGCATTTGTTGGTCTTAAAAAAGAACTTGTAGTATTATATTGAATTTAACAAACCTCTTGCGAATTTATATCGGATTTAAGGAATCACATTTGCATTTATATCTTATTGATTGAATTAAAGAACCAGTTGTGTAATTATATCGCATTTGTGGACTTAAGCAATCATTTGTAGTATTATATTGAATTTAACGAACCACTTGTGAATTTATATCGGATTTATTAAATATCGGATTTAAGGAACGACATTTGCATTTATATCATACTGATGGATTTATGGAACCACTTGTGGAATTATATAGAATTTATAGGACCACTTTTGGATTCATATCAAATTAAATGAATATTAGTTTTAACGAACCAATTATGTGTTCATATCGGATTAATAGATTTAAGAAATCACTTGTAGTGTTATATCGGATTTAAGGAATACCGGATTTAAGGAATATCGGATTTATGGAACGATTTCTTGAATCACACAGGCCATAAAGAAATGAATTCTTTTATTCCTGCCGAATGAGGTTACATAAATGCTAGGAAAAATCATTCTCTGAGACCGTCTTAAGTTCCTAGGTACATGTCAAATTTGTTTTCTTCTCATCCGTGGAGAGATTGTCCAACATTCACTAACATATAAGATGATAGATTACATACAGTAATCCATCACATTTTTCTTGTGTATAATCAAATATAAGTACATCTTTCTTGCCTTTTTTCTACCATTCTTTCTAAGTCGACAGACAAAACAACCTTATAGAAATATATAAAAGGAGAACTATAACTTACCTCTGCAGGTGATGAAACCAAGAGATTTTATGATGTCTTTCAGTGCACGATAAGAATTTACTCGGAAAACGCTGTCGGGATTGCTAGCAATTGCGTGCAGTTCACTCTCATCAACACTACCGCCGACACCAATAGCAATAATGTCAACATCCTGGCTTTTCAGGAGATCCGCCTCTGCCTTTGTCTTTGGCGGATTATCGGATCTTCCATCGGTAAGGACAATAGCAATCTTTTTAACATTTGGCCGCGCATGGTTGAAAAAATTGTTACGGGCATAAGTAATGGCTTTATCTGTGTAGGTCTTACCTCCATAATTAGGTTCGAACGTGATTCTGCCAAGAGCATTAAAAACTTCACGTTTATTGTTATTCGCTTCAAACCCGAAAGCCGAATATGTTATCACTACCTCACCGAATGTGACGGCGGCGATGCGAACATCTTGGGGACCAATTTGAAAAATGTTCACAAAACTTTGTATGAATTCCATGCCTTTGTAGAAATCGGGTCCATAGATACTTCGAGAATCGTCAATAATGAAGGCGATGTCAGCTGGTTTACTCTTGCATTCTGGGATGGAAATAACAGAAAAAATATGTTTTAGGAAATGATAAAAAGAAAAAAAAACGTAAAACACTAAAGATTACGAAGAAGAGAATAAAAAACATAAATGACAGGAAGAATGAAAGAAAATAAAAAGATTACAAATATATGAATGAAAACGGGGAATGACGGAAAGAAAAAAGACAATGAAAGAAGAAAACAATTGGAAAAGAATTGGCACTACTTGAATAGATTGGTCCGCTCATTAAAAAAATAGTGAATATTTTCAGGAAATACTCTTTATTGATAAATATTTTTTCGTCCGTCTTATTCTGTGAAATTTATTAGAAACCAGAAGTATTTTTCTCTTATTAATTTATACGGTCTTTTATGTTCATAATATCAATAGGAGTCCTGAAATGGCTCCCTGATAAAAATTATTTCCCCCAAATATTTTCCCTACTTTTTGATGCGACCAATTTTTATTCCGAAGGATTTCTGAAGTCATCATTATATGTCAGTCAATCGTATTTCAAATACGTTTTCCCCCTTCTAATGAAAGCAGATACGACACGCAAATTGCAAGCATACACGGGAAACTGCAAGAACTCTTAGACAATTTGGTAAAGGCAAATAGGAAGAAAGGACTATAAGAAAACAGAACGTACGATCGAAAACGGAAGAGCTCAAGATACGAGCTTAGTTGTCAAAAATCAGCAAAAAAGTCCAGAAATCCAGCTATGTGGTTAGATTTTTGATAGACGATGGAACCAGGAATTAAACTCACTGATGCCTATCTACGGCAATGAAGGAAAAATCGATAAAGAGATAAGAAAAGTAAAGAATGAAAAGAGGAAAAAACTGAAAGAAAAAAGACAATGAAATCGGAAATATTTTGGCATTATTTAAAAATACATTTGTTATATTTCGTGCTAATAGTAATATATACTTGAAAAACAAGGTGGATAAAATAAGTAAAGGTTTATTGTACAAAAACCAGTACAATAAGAATAAAGGTAACAGTTATTCACAAGGTCATCGCAAGTCAATCCAATAGTGAGTGCTACTATTGGAAGGTCGTTAGTTCTTGCGTAAGTCTGAGTCGTACTCAACAGATACCAGCTAATAATATTTACCAACCTCCCCATGGGGTAGGATGTGGCACATGGCTGAATTTAATGTGGGCTCGGCCCGGCCAAATATCCCCGTACAACCTGCATAACCCGAGTCGGGACAGTCTGCCTCCCCGAACGAGACTCTGCCCGTCGGCAGAGCCACGTCCGGGTTCCTTTCTGCCTTCAGGCAGAGAATTCAACAGCATAGCTGGAACAAATCCCAGCTAGAATAGTTGCCAACCGCCCAACGTGGTCGGATGTGGCATAAGGCCAAATTTATCGTGGGGTATCCAAACCCGTAGTCTCGGCCCCCAAATCCCCGTAGAACCCGCATAAACGGGATCGGGTTGGTCTAGCATCCCGAACGAGACTCTGCCTCGTCCGGATTCCTCTCTGCCCAAAGGGAAAGTGACCGACCGTCTAGCTGGAACAGATCACAGCTAGTCGGTATTTACTAGCCACCCTCAACCCCCGAGGGTAGATGTGGCACAACGACGTGTTTAATTTGGGTCTTCCGAGCTCGTAGGCTCGGCCAAAAAATTCCCCGTAGAACCCGCATAGATGGGATGGGGACAGTCTACCTCCCCGAAAGAGACTCTGCCCTTCGGCAAAGCGTCATCCGAGTTCTTCTCTGCCCGAAAGCAGTTCGACCGTCTAGCCGAAAAAGATTTCGGATAGAATATTTAGACACCCACCACAAGGATTTCATGTGGCAAAAGGCCGGGTTTAACGTGAGATCTCCGAGCCCTAAGGCTCGGCCAAAAAATGCTCGTAGATCCTGCATAATGGGATCGGGTTGGTCAACCTCACTGAACGAGACTCTGCCCTTCGGCTGAGCCTCGTCCGAGTTCCTCTCTGCTCAGAGAGTTCGACCGTCTAGCCTAAAAGATTTCGGGTAGTCCTTGTAGTCTGTTGACTTACAGCCACTTACAGGTAGTTACTACCTATAGTGTAGTCACTCCTGGGGGTGTCAGGTTATTCCATTAGATCAACATTTAATAACATACCTTCTAGTATTTCTCCATCGGGACGACGAATTTCTCGATCTAGGCAAAAAAAAAAAAAATATGAATAGAGAATCTAGTCTTATAAAAAAAAAAATATGAATTTAATGTTTCATCTTAAATTCGACATTACAAATCAAATATTATTAACTCGGCTTTCCTGGGTATGACGATAAACTACATCCGGCAGTAAGGCCTCTGACCGGGAGAGTTTGCGAAGCGAGGAACCACCTCTTAATTGTTGCTATTACCAGATCCACTCTGACCTGGGCTAGCAGCATCTGTTAGGGTCCCAGTTATTGACAAATAGTGAACTCCCAAACAAAATTCAACTACATTTTTATAATAAAATGACTAACAATACGTTTTCATAGAAAAATGACAATGCGACAGCAAAAAATATAAACATTTTTATAGTAAAATAACCAACGGTACATTTTATGATCAGCAAACTCTGTATCTAAAAACATAAACTTTACCATGAAAACATAAATTTATGTACGAAATATCTGTAGTTGAAAACATAAAATTACGTAAAATCCATTGTAAAAAAAAATTACCAACAATGCTTTTGTAAAGAAAATGGAGTCAGGGACTTTTACCTGCATCTTTAGCTATGGATCGTATGTATTATTGCATTTGAGGTCAAGTGAGCATATAGATACATTGGGTTCATTTTCAAACTTTCCTTGTTGTCTCATTTGTACATAATTCCGTTACAATAAAAATGATGTTTTATATGCATACTACCTTATGAAAATTGAGATGTAGTAGAGTTGGGGCCCTATATGCCAGATAGGGGGGTGTATCGTAGAATCGTGGATGTGGCACGAAATCCTTGCACAAGTCTTGTCTCTAGTATTAAGTCACAACATTTATTTGCAGCGAGTTTCATTTTAAATGTCATAAATAAATACATTTACAATGAAGAAGTAAATAAAAAAAAACAAATTAAATTTATATTTCAAAATACTAGATTGGCCAGAAAGTCCTCACTCACTGAGGAAGCGGAAAGAAATGTTTATTTCTGTCTGGTAGAATTTCCATGGAGTACAGAATTTCCAGCTTATTCTACACGGTCGCGTCATCAACGCTAAATTGTATTGTCAGCAGCTGGACCGAGTGTTAAGAGTCTTCCACATCCACCATTCAGTCCCGATGCTACTACGAGTGACTTGGGTCCAACCTGCTCAATGGCACTTCCTTCACGACCAGAGACTCAACACTTGATGAAGTGAAGGAAGCTTGGTTGCAGTTTTTTGATTCAAAGCTAACGAACTGGTATCTGGGACAGATTCGGATGCTGCCTGATTGCTGGCAGAAGATCGGTGAGAATGATGGACTTTATTTTAAAGAATAGATGTTGGTTTTGCTGCATAAAATTACGTTGTTTTCTTTCCGCTTCCTAAGTGAGTCAGGACTTTCTTTACAACGGCATTTTTTGTCAAAAAGTTTTTATATAAAATATTTAAAAATATATCACTTACTTTTGAGCTCTTCAATTAATGCATCTAAGCTTCTGCTATTCTCATCGATGACATCCAAAATGGCGGCATTCTGAATTTTATAAGATATTCATTCAATTTAATAATTACCTGTATCAATTAACGTAATTCAACATTTAATTTAACTGCGAGTGCTGTTGGTACAATGTAACTGTTAAGGGGTCCACCCCTTTTTCATACAAGTGGACTCGCCTAGTGTGTACTTGTACTGCTGCCGGTAAATACCCGGGACTGGAGTGATAGAGAGATACAGTGAGAGAGTGAGAGTGTGAGGTAACCGCTTTGTAGGAGTCACAGTTGCGAGCACGTAGACTCAGAAGGAAGTCCTACTTCGATACTGAATTTCCCAGACTGTATATATATTATTATTGCTACTAACCGCATTTCTGGATCTACTAACCGTATTACCAATTGTATTATTACGTCAATACATTTATTTGCTATATTTCATTCCTGCGTTTGTCATTCATTTGAGACCGGATTTCATCCCGGAATCCACAACAAATTGGCGACGAGCGATTTGAACGCACACAGGAAAAACAAACAACAAAAAATTTTTCCTCGTCGTCCGCAACAAATTGGCGACGAGCGATTCGAACTCACACGAGAAGAAGAAATAGAAAAATCCTCCCCTCGTCCACAACAAATTGACGACAAAGAGTTACGAGGAGTAAAAATACGTAAAATTGAGTTATCATGGAAGATTTTAAAAATATTTTGGTAGAACTGATTAAATAGCAAAATGATCAACTATTACAACTACAAGAAAGAATGGAAGAAAAGTAGCAAAAGCAATTACTACAAACGCAGAAGGAAAATCAGGAAAGACAAATAGAGCTCCAGGAAATAATATTGAAAGTAGCGGGTAACAAGCAATTAACTTTTTCGCAAGACGCAGTGTGGAATACTATAGAGATTTTCAAATATTCTCGAGATGAGGATAAAAATTTCGGAGATTACTTCAGAAACATGAAGTCATCTTTAACATCGACTGTCAAAGCTGGACAGAAGCAAAAAAGCTACGTCTATTGCTTAGAAAATTAGGAACTGAAGAATAAACAAAGTTCGTGGATTATATCTTGCCAAAAAAGACGAACGAATTAACATTTGACGAAGCACTTACATGTCACTCTTCAGTCCTAAAACATCACTCTTCCACAGGAAGTAGAAATGCCTTAACCTGGTAAAGGGCGATAATGAGGATTATTCCACGTTTGCTGCAATCGTAAATGAACATTGCGACGACTTCAAATTAGCGGAATTAATCCCAGACAATTTCAAGTGTCCCATCTTTTTTCAAGGGTTAGTTTCAACAAAAGATAGTGATATGCGCAAAAGAATGCTTTCAAAATTACAAAATGAACCTGGACTAACACTACAGCAATTATCGGAAGATTGCCAGAGATGCCTATGTATAAAGAAAGACGCGAAGGACATTGAGGAGTCAGCTGTATCTCATATACGTAAGTTAAACAAAAGTCTACGTTTTTCACCCTCCCCGGAAAGAAAACAAAAATTCTATAATAATGAAAAAAGATTCTCACCCTCCCGGGAAAGAAAACAAAAATTCTATAATAAGAGAAAAAGTACAACATACAGGACAAATTATGACGAAAATCGAAGCAAATATAAGCCCCCTCCATCAGCATGTTATCGATGTGGAGGACTACATTGGAACAAGGATTGCCGTTTTAGATATAAAAACTGTCTTGAGTGTGGAAAAAAGGGCCACAAGGCATCCCAATGTAGGAACAGAAAAGATACTAGTAGAATAAGAGCTACTAGGATGCATAACGAAGACAACACCAACATAAGAAAATATGTAGAACTTGAAATCCTAAATAAAAAGATAAAATTGCCACTGGATTCGGGTTCCGACCTCACGATAATCAACCTACAGACATGGAGAAAACTTAAAAGACCAACCATGTTACACACATACAAAATTGCCAAGTCGGTTACTGGCAAGCGAATAAAATTCGAAGGATAAATAATCGTGAATGTTAAATTTCACGGGAAAACAAAAAAAACTTAAGATATACGACATGAAAGATACTGAAAATCTAGAAGGTATCGACTGGATGCAAAAGTTCAACGTTTGGGATCTACCTATCAGATCTTTTTGCAAAAGGGTTAGAGGTTGAACCATCAGATGCTATAAAGTCAAAGGAAGAATTATATAACCAATTTCCTAAGGTATTTTCGTACAGGTTGGGACGATGCAACAAATTTGAGGCCAGAATTGAATTAAAAGAAAACGTCCAACCAGTTTTTAAAAAGAAGCGAAACGTGCCATTTGCTAGATGGATGAAAACAGTAAAGAGTTCTACAAGGCAGTAAAGGAACTACCTGTGACTTTGCGAGAGATAAGAAGAGAAGCGGAATTTGACAAATTGTTACCAAACAAGAACAAAAACCAGTATACACCTATTGTACCCAAGAGATCATTTAAAACAGGAAGTAACCGCTTTGTAGGAGTCACAGTTGCGAGCACGTAGACTCAGAAGGAAGTCCTACTTCGATACTGAATCTCCCAGACAATATATATATTATTATTGCTACTAACCGCATTTCTGGATCTACTAACCGTATTACCAATTGTATTATTACGTCAATACATTTATTTGTTATATTTCATTCCTGCGTTTGTCATTAATTTGAGACTGGATTTTATCCCGGAATCCACAACAGTAACCCAGTACTATCTGCCATATGGTAGGCTTAGATCCATATCACCTTAAACTATCACCAAAGTTAAGCAACGTCAAGACTGGTCAGATGGATGACCGCTTGGGAATACCTGATGCTGTTAGATTGGATATGCAAGTAGTCGAAAGGGCTTACGGTCGGTCATATTACGTTGAAATACCCGTTTCCGTACGATCAGCAACGTCCAGCCAGGTCAGTATCTAGATGGGTGACCGTTTTGAGAATATTAGGGGCAGTAAGATTAGAAATGTGAGTAGTCAAAATATCTTACGGCCATATTACATTGAAATACCGGTTCTCGTACGATCACTGAAGTTAAGCAAGGTCGAGTCTGGTCAGTTTCTAGATGGGTGACCATTTTGGGAATATTAGGGGAAGTAAAATTAGATATGTCAATAGTCAAAAGGTTTACGGCCATATTACATTGAAATACCGGTTCTCGTACGATCACAGAAGTTAAGCAACATCCAAACTGGTCCGTACCTAGATGGGCGACTGCTTAGGAATATCAGGTGCTGTATGCTTGTATGTGCGGTTAGTGTAAAGGGCTTACGACCGTATCACACTGAAATACCGGTTTCCGTACGATCCCCAAAGTTAAGCAATGTTCTTCCTAGTCAGTACACAGATGGGTGGCCGCATGGAAATTCCATGTGCTGTAAACTTGGATATGCAGGTGATAACGACTCGAAATTGAAACTCGGAGAGCCGAGTTCCAATTTCTGTCAGGTTCGTTATATTCACTTACGAGAAAATACTCTTGAGGAATGTCTAAATCTACCTCTTCTACCCCAGCTATGGGTTAATTAGTAGGATTTGTTTCAGTAAATCCTCATTATGTTCAAAAAATTCTTACAACTTAAAAATATTTTCTGGATTTAAATAAATTGCAAGAGGTTGTATAAGCCGTAAAAAACAAATCAATCAGTTGAAAACCTCATGGTCGGATCATTGGCGATTAAACCGGTTCCCTCTTCAGGCTTTTTCTGGTGAGTAGATAGCAAGTAAGATAACGAACAAGAGGTGTCAAAGCGCGGACAAATATTCTCGTGGGCTGAACACAGTAGGATAGGATAGACCGAGCTCCATAGCAATATATGCTTCCAGGGCAGTGAAGACATCACATTGTTAGGCAGAGGCGTCCTTTCAAATTGGATAATATCGGCAGTTGAGAGGGATGTGCTTCGCCAGGTCTTTTCATCCAAAACACGCCACGGATGACTGAATATCTCTCCGACCTTCAAACCAGATATCTGAAGAGAACGGCAACCCTACGACCCCAGCCTCTGTCAGCGGACTAATGATGACGTTATTTATATCATACCATTATCTATTCGGGGTAAATTTTTGAGCATTAATTTTTTTCTCGCCGTTTCTTATAAAATTATGAAAATCGTGAATGCATGCAGGAGGACAATGTTTATCAAGTAGGTTCCGCAATATTCGATCTCTACGAGTGCTCCTTTCTTGTGATCTTTTGTCAAACTAGCCAATGCTTATTAAAAGTATGTGTTTCCACGCACTTTTCATTTAATCTAGTCCTTTCGAAGGTTGAAATGTGTAATATAGGATTTTTTCCATTTTGTCATTCAATTATTTATCATAATGGTTATTATAGACATTATTAAAATTGCGACGTTTGGATCAAGTGCTTTCTTACCATCTTCAGTGTTCATTGTGTTTTAGTTGATATAGGATTAAGCTGATCATTTTTTTTATTTTCTAATTATTATTTCACTACTTGAACCAGGAATTGAACTCACGATTATTATACAAGAACAGGAAAAAAGGAGTCACAACATAGCACAATAATGAACATAATATATCCAAGACCAATCAAAAACAATGGACATCTGACGATGGCCAGGGTATTTGATCGAAACGTTGTGTCAGTAACAACACTGAGAATAATGAAGATGGGAATAACAGTCTATGCATAACAATTCTTCATTTCAAAAGACAAAAACAGTTAGTTAATAATAATAAAGACCTGAAGATGACTAGAGGGTATTTGATCGAAGCGTTGTGTCTATAACAACATTGAGAATAATGAAGATGGGAACGATAGTCGAAGTATATTGCCAATTACTTATCTCAAAATTTAAAAAAAATAAAAAAATATGTCAAAATATAACGAAGAAACGAAGAATTTTGTCTTCTTAATCTTCGTATCACTTCTAAGTAGAAAAATTTGAGTAAGTTTTTATATAAAATTGTGCCATTTTGTTTTTAGAACCGGAGATATTTGTGTTTGAAATTTGCTCTCACTGCATTAAATAGCGTAATGGAATATGAGTCGTTTGAAAACATTTTTCTGTGCAAATTTCTATTTCTTTTTGAATTTTTGGAACTAAATTAGATTATTTATATTATTTACAGTCGGGCTAATGTTCTGATAACAACGTTTCGGTGGATTTGCTTTCTGGCCTTCTTCACATCTTACCATAGAATGGCCGAAAGCTGGCATGTTCAAAATCAGACCCGGGTGCGAATTACGGGCCGCGGTCAAATTCTTTGTCATAGAATGTATCACTTACGGCTCGCCATCATTGTCAATCAGATTATGTAAAGTAGTCACCTAAGAAATGCAACTTCATCTTTTACCAAAAGATGGCAGCAACATTGTGTGGCTACCCTCTGGCAGTGTGACACGGACCTTGACCATTTCAAATCAATTTCTAAAATCACTGCCTCTGAAACAGACCACTGGCCGACATACTGCAGTCCAGACCTTAGTATCACCCTTCGCATTAGTGCAGTCAAGTTAAGTGTTTTGATCATCTGAGATGAAGAAAATTCTAAAATCCTAGTGAATTAAATTTGTTTTGTGTTGGTCAAAATCAGTTCTAGATATATTTGGACAGTTAGACTAGAGTCACTTTATGTTTTCTACTTCTTTAAGATGAATGTTGGTGCTGGAAATTTTCAAAAAAAAAAAAAAAAAAAAAAAGAAAAAGAAAGGAAAGAAAGAAAAGCAAACTTACCCCTAGTAATGCCAAAGTGGCAAAAAGGATCGCTTTTCTCCACATGTTGCCGATGAGGAATCTGGTGTTCGTGCTAGGCTCTCCCTTAAAAAATATCTGGACAATTATGGCCTGGGGTTTTATATAGAACAATCATTAAGGTTTCGGGGTGATTATTCTTAAATGGTCAATCAAACGCGACGTGTGGGCGTATTCCTGATAGGAGAGCAATGGGAGTGCTTTTTGATCATATCACTCTGTCTCTAAACCCTCCCTCCCTCTCTCTTCCTTTCTTTTCCTTTCTCTCTCTCCCTCTCTCTGTCTGTCTGTCTCTCTCTCATACACATATAAACATACACACAAAGGCATTGGCATTCGTACATCAATACCAATCCCCCTTTCTTAGTCTCTCTTTCTGCCTATGTGTGTGTGTGTGTGTGTGCATATTCTACAGTTCAAAATTTTAAACACTCCCCCAGAACTAGCAAGAAATTGACGAAAGTGTGAAAAAAAAAAAAAAGAATGGAAAAGAGCTCTTAGAATCATTGAAAAAAGAATGGAAAGAATTATAAAACTTATGCTTTGAGAAATTATAGCAACGAATGTCAAAAATTGTGCTGCAGTAATCAAGGCCAAAGGAGAGTATTTTAATATATATATATATATATATATATATATATATATATATATATATATATATATATATATATCTATCTATCTATCTATCTATCTATCTATCTATATATATATATATATATATATATATATATTTTAAATATATATATATATATATATGTATATATATATATATATATATATATATATATATATATATATATATATATATATATATATATTGGCAGCATGTTCTTATAAATTAATAAATTCATTTCTAAAATATTTTATTTTTTTTTTTACTTATTTTTAATAAGATCATCTCATAATTAGATATAAGATTCTTGTTCGCAATTACTATTACAATTACACACACACACGCATAATATATATATATATATATATATATATATATATATATATATATATTTAAGAACAGCATGTTCCTATTAAATAATAAATTCATTACTTAAATAATCTAGTTCTTTATACTTAGTTTTAAGAGGATCATCTCAAAATTACGCATAAGTTTCTTGTTCGCAATTACTATATATATATATATATATATATATATATATATATATATATATATATATATACATATATATATATATATATATATATATATATATATATATATATATATATATATAGATACATAGATATGTATATATCTATTTATATAGGCAGTATGTTTTTATAAACAATAAATTCATTTCTGAAATAATTTAGTTTTGTCTAGTTATTTTTAACAGGTTCATCTCATAATTATGCATAAGTTTCTTCTCCACAATTACTATATATATATATATATATATATATATATATATATATATATATATATATATATATATATATATGTATGTATATATATATATATATATATATATATGTGAAGATATATAGAAAATAGGAAGGAACTGGTTAGGTAAATAGTCCAAAGTTCCTTAGTATTTTAGTTATTATTTTAAAAAATAGTGCTCGATACAAAAGTAGAGCATAAATATAATTATTTATTTAAAAATATGGTTCCAAATCGCTACATAAGAGGTCTCATGTTTCAAAACAAGAGCCGAAAACTTCAATATAATCCTTTAAATTAAATTGAGTTGAAATTAAAAAGGGCTCCGTTCCATCTTCAAGCGAAATTGTTGTTGGAATAACGTATATCTGAAATTTACTTGTTTTAATAATTGATATCAAAATCACCATGGTTACAGCTAGGGCGAATTGTCTAAAATGGGTAGGCGAGTGTAGGGTGTTAATGATAAGTAGCGGTATAGAGATACTTTCAAGGTGTCAAGTCGGGGAAAGGTGGGGGTGTCATAAATGAAACGGAAGATGTATTAGCCATCGTCTAGTTTGCTTGTCTATGGAGATTTATTTATTTATTTTATTTTATTTTATTATGAAACGGAATTGTGCATATAAAAAGAAAGACTTTCGTAACGTTTGTTTTTTGACGACTTCATAAAGGGTTATCTTTTAGGTAAGGTGTTTAAACTACTAATTTGGGCTATGGATTATGAAGGGTGTTATGTTGTATGCAAGTTTGTAGTTAATAATTTCTACTATGAATCTGATGATTGGGTTATTTGTTAAACAAGTTATATAAATTTTATTTCAAACCAAAAATCTGATGATGCCTACAAAAAATCGTTAACTCGTGTCTATTATTTAATAGATTATTATTATTCAGAAGTTTAATAATGTGCAATTTTTCATGGAGGCACAAAGGGCATGGGTCATCCCAAGCTTTACATATTCTAGCCTTGTCAATAATTTTCCATTTAACTTTTGGTGTCTTATTTGTTTCCTTCAAGTGCCAAAAATATTTTGATAGTGAAGTCTGGTTTCTTTTGTTTATATTATTAAAGGAGCACTTATGTTGCCTCCATCTATCTTTAAAATTATTCTTCGTGGACCCAATGTATATCATATTAGTGCTAGGGCTCTCTGTGGATGAAATAGTACATTGGTATACCACTGAATTAATACAACATTTATTTTCTAATGGGCAGTCTTCTGGGTTTCTACAGTTACATAATTTTCCCTATTATCATCTGATTTTAGTGTAGAGTTTTTATTAATACTGTTTTGGCATGGGGGTTTGGTCAAGATCTTATTATTGTGTTTTTTTATTATGCGTTCAAGATTATCAGAGCAATATATATATATATATATATATACACACACACACACACACACATTAATGAAAAATACATACCCTTCTTGAAAGCCTTAACAAAAATCCTAACCCGTCTCTTTGGAACACTCAGTCCATCTTATATAAAGAAATCAGGCGGCCTAGTTGAAAAACAAAGGGAAATGAATATGATTGACAAAAGCATGTCCAGTCTAGATATAAAATCCCTTTATTTCTTTTGTTTATTCCAACGTCCCAGTTGAAAAATGAAAAAATTTTAATTTAAAACTTTTTCTATATATACATCTCTTAAGTATATATATATATATATATATATATATATATATATATATAATTTATTCGAATAAATTAGAATAAATTATATTTGCTCTACTCTATACTGAGCACTCTTATAAGAATAGTATTTTTGGCTATTGAAATTTATTCCGCATACACCATTCCTATACAGACACACACACAGATATATATATATATATATATATATATATATATATATATATAAAAAATCACCGTTCTTCTTTTCTTATTCCTACGTCCCAGTTGAAAAATGCCTACATGTCTTAATACACACACACACACACACATATATATATATATATACGTATATACGCATATATATATATATATATATATATGTAATAGAAACATATGTGTATAGTACTTTTGCACTCCCCTCTCTCTCGATATATATATATATATATATATATATATATATGATACAAACATATGTGTACAGTACTTTTGCACCCCCTCCCTCCCTCCCTCCCTTTCTCTCTCTACATATATATATATATATTAATAACAAAATTAGTTTTACTAAAATTACAAAGATCAAAAATCAAGTCTCCTGAGGTATAATGTTTTTTGTTTTTTTTTATCGCAAACAGTCTTTCTAAATAAAGTGTTCAGTTTTCTCGGAATATTTCTAATAATTAAATTAAATTAAAAAGTTTTTAATGTCTTTTAACTTTTTAATTCAATGTATTTCCGATGTATTCAATTTCTTTACGATTTTTTTCATGGTTTATTATTCTTTGAATAAATTTTCGCATAAAAATAATTAAAAACAAACCGCCTCTTTTCAATTAAACATTCACCGTATTTGACGGTATATAAGGCGCACTTAATTTCTTATTAAAAATATCTTTTAAAATTCCTCTGCGTCTTATATGCCATATGTAGGTTTACTAATTTTACTAATTATTAATTTTTTCTTGATTTACCCTGTTGAAATTGGGGTGCATCATATACATCGGTGCGTTTTATATGCCGTCAAATACGGTAGGCATCAGTTGAAAGGGTAAAATAATATTTGCTTGGATTGATGTGAGTTTGTGACCCTGGGTTTCACGCTTTTGCGATCGTCAGACAAACTCTATGTTAGCCCTGTCTCTGATATTGAGCGCTTTCTAATAAGTACCGCGCATATAATATATAAATAATTATATATATATATATATATATATATATATATATATATATGCACTTTTTTCATATACTTATATATAATGTATATTTATTTAAATATTTATCTCTTCAGTCCGAAGGCTTTTTAGTAATGAAGTCAACTTGGCCAGATATATATATATATATATATATATATATATATATATATATATATATATGTGTGTGTGTGTGTGTGTGTGTGTGTGTGTGTGTGTGTGTGTGTGTGTGTGTGTGTGTGTGTTATACAAATATATATGTCCCAGTTGAAAAATGCCTACATGTCTTAATATATATATATATATATATATATATATATATATATATATATGTGTGTGTGTGATACAAACATATGTAATGGAAAAGGGAGATGAAAAAGGAAAAGAAAAGAAAAGGGAAAAAAATAAATATAATAAAAAAGGAAGAAAGAAAAATAAAAGTTAAAAATAGAAAAAAAATTTAGGAAAGAATGATGGGGGAGAGGAAGAGAAAGAATGGGGGGAAAGAAAAGAAAAAAGAAAGGAAAGAATAATGGGGGAGAGGAAGAGAAAGAAGTGGAAGAAAAGAAAAGAAAAGAAAAAAAAAGGAAGAATTAAAGTTAAGCCAATAGGCTGACCTAGAATCAAATTATTTCTTAAATGTCTGAACATGTTAATATACAGGGTAAGGGGCGGGTGATCAGAATTAGAAGCATTACATTAATATGTCTAATAGTCACATCATTTCAAACAGCAAAAAATATACCTACTTAATGAGCTTGAATAAATAGATGGCGCAACAGGGCTTATGAGAAATAACGAAGAGACGATAATACTACTACTAATAATAATAATAATATCTG